AAAAATAAAAATATAGAAAATTTAAAACTAACACCAAATTTTTCGTATGTTCAAATTTGTTGAAATTTTTTATGAATAATGTTGCTCCTTTTGTTGAAAAATTATTTAAAAAAAAAAAAACAATTTCAAGACTTTGAAAATAAAAACTAAAACTCGCATCAAAACGAACAAAACAAGAGTGGTTAATAGTTTCAGATATTTATTTAAAAGTATATTTTATATAAAAACTTCAAGACATCTCAAATGTTTCACACAAAAGCAACTAAATTTTCATTTTTTACACAATAAACTAATCAACACAATAATTGAAGATGCACACTTGCAATAACATTAAATGTTAAATAAACAAATAAAACAACAAAAACAATATTTACAATAAAACGTTGTGTACATAAGAAAAAAAATTTAAATATCAATAAATAGTTGTGTTGTGTAATTTATGAAGTTATAACATAAATTACGTTCGATTACCTAACGTAACAAAACACACCAACACACACTTAATAATTTCCAAACAAAAATAACAAAAATTATTGCAAATTGTGAAAAAATTGAAATGTGATCTTTTAAAACAAAAATAAATTAGTGTTTGTAAAATATGGTAAAAACACAAAAATTTCAAATCACACACACACACACTTATGCAAAAACAAGCAAAGAAAAACTCGTTACTGGTACTAAAAGGGAAAACTTAACTGTAAAACACATATAAAATTAAACATAAAAATTAAATTTAAATTAAATTCATTGAATATTCAATTACTAACTTTCACGTGTCAGTATTTGAAAAACAACGCGTATAATCAATAATAAATAGAAAATAAATCAAATAACTATTATATAAAATTTTTTTTTAAACTCAGAAATATTGGCGACGAATGATATGTGCATAGATACTGGAAATGGTATATATTTACTTACATATACATATTTATAGCATGTACATACATATATATATTGTATAAATATATATTCATCGTACTTATTTAAGGGCTGGTTATAATCAACGGAAATTTCTGGTAAAAAAGAAACATATACATTATTAATTAAATATTTTTCACTAAATTTTTTTGATTTTTTTTTAATTACTGTTAATTTTTTTTTTTTGTAAACTTTTTGATTTCTGGTACAAAAATATGTTATTGTATTCATTAAATTTTTTAAAAAATTTTTGTATTTTTGTTTAATTTTTATTAATCTTTTTAGTTACTATTAATATCTTTGTACATTTGCTGACTTTTCGAATAACCAAAAAATATTTAATTTTTCACACATTGATTTTTCTAGGAATTAACCAAAACAATAAAAACTTGAAATAATAACTGAAAATATAAAAACACTTGCAGTTAATCATTTTCTTTATGAACAACTTTTTTTCTACACATATAGCATATAGTCGCTTTTCCATTCCCCTTTCCTTTTCTCACATTTATATCTTTCTAAATCAATTAACAATTAAAAAAATACATACTTATAATAAATTAAAAACAATAATAATTTTTTTCCTCTCCTTTTCTCTCACTCTCAATTGCTTCTAAAGATTTTCAAATAAAAAAATATTCTATTAAAACTTATCATAAAAAATTTGGAGGCATTAATAATAACTTTTTTACTCAAAAGTAGGACCTTATATTCCTAAATTGTTGTTCACAATAAATTTGGGTTTAGTTCATGATCGCTAAAATACTCATATGGTCAGTTTGTGATCAGATTAAACTACTTTAAAAAAAGTGCTGAAAAAGTTCAATGAAAGCTTTAAATTTACAGCAATCTTCTGAGCAAATTTTGTTATAGTTACTTTTTATTATTTATGTAAATAAATTTCCTCTCTTCCACGACATTTTTAAATAATTTCATGGCATATAACTTTAATTTTCGGTAATAATAATTCTGCATAAATTTCGCGTCCTTTTGTCTTACTGAATTTTAAACTTTTCTTATACGAAGTTTTTTCCTGCCACCATCTATATTTTTTTGATTACAAACTATTCAACTATTAGCACTTAAAATTTTATAAAAATTTTTAAAATAACATTACTATACTAGAGACATTACCCAACACCAGTCCTTACCATAAAACCATACAAGTAACTCTAAAGC